GCTTCCTCTCTTCATCAAGTTTCCTCTCTTCATCAAAGTACTTCCTCTCTTCTCAAGATGCAGCTTCCTCTCTTCATCAAGTGCTTCCTCTCTTCATCAAAGCTTCCTCTCTTCAACAAAGTGCTTCCTCTCTTCATCAAGTGCTTCCTCTCTTCATCAAGATGCTTCCTCTCTTCTTCAAAGTACTTCCTCTCTTCATCAAAGTACTTCCTCTCTTCATCAAGTGCTTCCTCTCTTCATCAAGGTGCTTCCTCTCTTCATCAAGATGCTTCCTCTCTTCAACAAAGTGCTTCCTCTCTTCATCAAGATGCTTCCTCTCTTCAACAAAGTACTTCCTCTCTTCATCAAGATGCTTCCTCTCTTCATCAAGATGCTTCCTCTCTTCAACAAAGTACTTCCTCTCTTCATCAAGATGCTTCCTCTCTTCAACAAAGTACTTCCTCTCTTCATCAAGATGCTTCCTCTCTTCATCAAAGTGCTTCCTCTCTTCATCAAGATGCTTCCTCTCTTCAACAAAGTGCTTCCTCTCTTCATCAAGTGCTTCCTCTCTTCATCAAGATGCTTCCTCTCTTCTTCAAAGTACTTCCTCTCTTCAAAAAGTACTTCCTCTCTTCATCAAGGTGCTTCCTCTCTTCATCAAGATGCTTCCTCTCTTCATCAAGATGCTTCCTCTCTTCATGCATCCATCATGCAGCTTCCTCTCTTTCAAAGTACTTCCTCTCTTCATCAAAGTACTTCCTCTCTTGCTCAAGATGCAGCTTCCTCTCTTCAACAAGGTGCTTCCTCTCTTCATCAAAGCTTCCTCTCTTCAACAAAGTGCTTCCTCTCTTCATCAAGGTGCTTCCTCTCTTCATCAAGATGCTTCCTCTCTTCTTCAAAGTACTTCCTCTCTTCAACAAAGTACTTCCTCTCTTCATCAAGATGCTTCCTCTCTTCATCAAGATGCTTCCTCTCTTCATCAAGATGCTTCCTCTCTTCATCAAGATGCTTCCTCTCTTCATCATCATGCAGCTTCCTCTCTTCTCAAAGTACTTCCTCTCTTCAACAAAGTACTTCCTCTCTTCATCAAGTGCTTCCTCTCTTCATCAAGTGCTTCCTCTCTTCATCAAGATGCTTCCTCTCTTCAACAAAGTGCTTCCTCTCTTCATCAAGATGCTTCCTCTCTTCAACAAAGTACTTCCTCTCTTCATCAAGATGCTTCCTCTCTTCAACAAAGTACTTCCTCTCTTCATTAAGATGCTTCCTCTCTTCAACAAAGTGCTTCCTCTCTTCATCAAGATGCTTCCTCTCTTCAACAAAGTGCTTCTCTTCATCAAGGTGCTTCCTCTCTTCAATCAAGATGCTTCCTCTCTTCATCAAGATGCTTCCTCTTCTTCAAAGTACTTCCTCTCTTCATCAAGATGCTTCCTCTCTTCAACAAAGTACTTCCTCTCTTCATTAAGATGCTTCCTCTCTTCAACAAAGTGCTTCCTCTCTTCATCAAGATGCTTCCTCTCTTCAACAAAGTGCTTCCTCTCTTCATCAAGGTGCTTCCTCTCTTCATCAAGGTGCTTCCTCTCTTCTTCAAAGTACTTCCTCTCTTCAACAAAGTACTTCCTCTCTTCATCAAGGTGCTTCCTCTCTTCATCAAGATGCTTCCTCACTCCATCAAGATGCTTCCTCACTCCATCATGCATCCATCATGCAGCTTCCTCTCTTCATCAAAGTACTTCCTCTCTTGCTCAAGATGCAGCTTCCTCTCTTCAACAAGGTGCTTCCTCTCTTCATCATACAGCTTCCTCTCTTCAAAAAGTGCTTCCTCTCTTCATCAAGGTGCTTCCTCTCTTCATCAAGATGCTTCTCTCTTCTTCAAAGTACTTCTCTCTTCAACAAAGTACTTCCTTCTTCATCAAGAGCTTCCTCTCTTCAACAAAGTGCTTCCTCTCTTCATCAAGATGCTTCCTCTCTTCAACAAAGTGCTTCCTCTCTTCATCAAGGTGCTTCCTCTCTCATCAAGATGCTTCCTCTCTTCTTCAAAGTACTTCCTCTCTTCAACAAAGTACTTCCTCTCTTCATCAAGGTGCTTCCTCTCTTCATCAAGGTGCTTCCTCTCTTCATCAAGATGCTTCCTCTCTTCAACAAAGTGCTTCCTCTCTTCATCAAGATGCTTCCTCTCTTCAACAAAGTACTTCCTCTCTTCATCAAGATGCTTCCTCTCTTCAACAAAGTACTTCCTCTCTTCATTAAGATGCTTCCTCTCTTCAACAAAGTGCTTCCTCTCTTCATCAAGATGCTTCCTCTCTTCAACAAAGTACTTCCTCTCTTCATCAAGGTGCTTCCTCTCTTCTTCAAAGTACTTCCTCTCTTCAACAAAGTACTTCCTCTCTTCATCAAGGTGCTTCCTCTCTTCATCAAGGTGCTTCCTCTCTTCATCAAGATGCTTCCTCTCTTCTTCAAAGTACTTCCTCTCTTCAACAAAGTACTTCCTCTCTTCATCAAGGTGCTTCCTCTCTTCATCAAGATGCTTCCTCACTCCATCAAGATGCTTCCTCACTCCATCATGCATCCATCATGCAGCTTCCTCTCTTCTTCAAAGTACTTCCTCTCTTCATCAAAGTACTTCCTCTCTTGCTCAAGATGCAGCTTCCTCTCTTCAACAAGGTGCTTCCTCTCTTCATCATACAGCTTCCTCTCTTCAACAAAGTGCTTCCTCTCTTCATCAAGGTGCTTCCTCTCTTCATCAAGGTGCTTCCTCTCTTCATCAAGATGCTTCCTCTCTTCAACAAAGTGCTTCCTCTCTTCATCAAGATGCTTCCTCTCTTCAACAAAGTACTTCCTCTCTTCATCAAGATGCTTCCTCTCTTCATCAAGATGCTTCCTCACTCCATCATGCATCCATCATGCAGCTTCCTCTTTTCTTCAAAGTACTTCCTCTCTTCAACAAAGTACTTCCTCTCTTCATCAAGGTGCTTCCTCTCTTCATCAAGGTGCTTCCTCTCTTCATCAAGATGCTTCCTCTCTTCAACAAAGTGCTTCCTCTCTTCATCAAGATGCTTCCTCTCTTCAACAAAGTACTTCCTCTCTTCATCAAGATGCTTCCTCTCTTCAACAAAGTACTTCCTCTCTTCATCAAGGTGCTTCCTCTCTTCAACAAAGTGCTTCCTCTCTTCAACAAATACTTCCTCTTCAACAAAGTGCTTCCTCTCTTCATCAAGGTGCTTCCTCTCTTCATCAAATGCTTCCTCTCTTCAACAAAGTGCTTCCTCTCTTCATCAAGATGCTTCCTCTCTTCAACAAAGTACTTCCTCTCTTCATCAAGATGCTCTCTCTTCATCAAGATGCTTCCTCTCTTCAACAAAGTACTTCCTCTCTTCATCAAGATGCTTCCTCTCTTCAACAAAGTACTTCCTCTCTTCATTCAAGATGCTTCCTCTCTTCAAACAAAGTGCTTCCTCTCTTCATCAAGATGCTTCCTCTCTTCAACAAAGTGCTTCCTCTCTTCATCAAGGTGCTTCCTCTCTTCATCAAGATGCTTCCTCTCTTCTTCAAAGTACTTCCTCTCTTCAACAAAGTACTTCCTCTCTTCATCAAGGTGCTTCCTCTCTTCATCAAGATGCTTCCTCACTCCATCAAGATGCTTCCTCACTCCATCATGCATCCATCATGCAAGCTTCCTCTCTTCTTCAAAGTACTTCCTCTCTTCATCAAAGTACTTCCTCTCTTGCTCAAGATGCAGCTTCCTCTCTTCAACAAGGTGCTTCCTCTCTTCATCATACAGCTTCCTCTCTTCAACAAAGTGCTTCCTCTCTTCATCAAGGTGCTTCCTCTCTTCATCAAGATGCTTCCTCTCTTCTTCAAAGTACTTCCTCTCTTCAACAAAGTACTTCCTCTCTTCATTAAGATGCTTCCTCTCTTCAACAAAGTGCTTCCTCTCTTCATCAAGATGCTTCCTCTCTTCAACAAAGTGCTTCCTCTCTTCATCAAGGTGCTTCCTCTCTTCATCAAGATGCTTCCTCTCTTCTTCAAAGTACTTCCTCTCTTCAACAAAGTACTTCCTCTCTTCATCAAGATGCTTCCTCTCTTCAACAAAGTGCTTCCTCTCTTCATCAAGATGCTTCCTCTCTTCAACAAAGTACTTCCTCTCTTCATCAAGATGCTTCCTCTCTTCATCAAGATGCTTCCTCTCTTCAACAAAGTGCTTCCTCTCTTCAACAAAGTACTTCCTCTCTTCAACAAAGTGCTTCCTCTCTTCATCAAGGTGCTTCCTCTCTTCATCAAGATGCTTCCTCTCTTCAACAAAGTACTTCCTCTCTTCATTAAGATGCTTCCTCTCTTCAACAAAGTACTTCCTCTCTTCATCAAGATGTTCTCTCTCTCATCAAGATGCTTCCTCTCTTCAACAAAGTACTTCCTCTCTTCATCAAGATGCTTCCTCTCTTCAACAAAGTACTTCCTCTCTTCATTAAGATGCTTCTCTCTTCAACAAAGTGCTCCTCTCTTCATCAAGATGCTTCCTCTCTTCAACAAAGTGCTTCCTCTCTTCATCAAGGTGCTTCCTCTCTTCATCAAGATGCTTCCTCTCTTCTTCAAAGTACTTCCTCTCTTCAACAAAGTACTTCCTCTCTTCATCAAGGTGCTTCCTCTCTTCATCAAGATGCTTCCTCACTCCATCAAGATGCTTCCTCACTCCATCATGCATCCATCATGCAGCTTCCTCTCTTCTTCAAAGTACTTCCTCTCTTCATCAAAGTACTTCCTCTCTTGCTCAAGATGCAGCTTCCTCTCTTCAACAAGGTGCTTCCTCTCTTCATCATACAGCTTCCTCTCTTCAACAAAGTGCTTCCTCTCTTCATCAAGGTGCTTCCTCTCTTCATCAAAGATGCTTCTCTCTTCTTCAAAGTACTTCCTCTCTTCAACAAAGTACTTCCTCTCTTCATTAAGATGCTTCCTCTCTTCAACAAAGTGCTTCCTCTCTTCATCAAGATGCTTCCTCTCTTCAACAAAGTGCTTCCTCTCTTCATCAAGGTGCTTCCTCTCTTCATCAAGATGCTTCCTCTCTTCTTCAAAGTACTTCCTCTCTTCAACAAAGTACTTCCTCTCTTCATCAAGGTGCTTCCTCTCTTCATCAAGGTGCTTCCACTCTTCATCAAGATGCTTCCTCTCTTCAACAAAGTGCTTCCTCTCTTCATCAAGATGCTTCCTCTCTTCAACAAAGTACTTCCTCTCTTCATTAAGATGCTTCCTCTCTTCAACAAAGTGCTTCCTCTCTTCATCAAGATGCTTCCTCTCTTCAACAAAGTGCTTCCTCTCTTCATCAAGATGCTTCCTCTCTTCAACAAAGTACTTCCTCTCTTCATCAAGGTGCTTCCTCTCTTCTTCAAAGTACTTCCTCTCTTCATCAAGATGCTTCCTCTCTTCAACAAAGTACTTCCTCTCTTCATTAAGATGCTTCCTCTCTTCTTCAAAGTACTTCCTCTCTTCATCAAGATGCTTCCTCTCTTCTTCAAAGTACTTCCTCTCTTCAACAAAGTACTTCCTCTCTTCATCAAGGTGCTTCCTCTCTTCATCAAGATGCTTCCTCTCTTCATCAAGATGCTTCCTCTCTTCAACAAAGTGCTTCCTCTCTTCATCAAGATGCTTCCTCTCTTCAACAAAGTACTTCCTCTCTTCATCAAGATGCTTCCTCTCTTCATCAAGATGCTTCCTCTCTTCAACAAAGTACTTCCTCTCTTCATCAAGATGCTTCCTCTCTTCAACAAAGTACTTCCTCTCTTCATTAAGATGCTTCCTCTCTTCAACAAAGTGCTTCCTCTCTTCATCAAGATGCTTCCTCTCTTCAACAAAGTGCTTCCTCTCTTCATCAAGGTGCTTCCTCTCTTCATCAAGATGCTTCCTCTCTTCTTCAAAGTACTTCCTCTCTTCAACAAAGTACTTCCTCTCTTCATCAAGGTGCTTCCTCTCTTCATCAAGATGCTTCCTCACTCCATCAAGATGCTTCCTCACTCCATCATGCATCCATCATGCAGCTTCCTCTCTTCTTCAAAGTACTTCCTCTCTTCATCAAAGTACTTCCTCTCTTGCTCAAGATGCAGCTTCCTCTCTTCAACAAGGTGCTTCCTCTCTTCATCATACAGCTTCCTCTCTTCAACAAAGTGCTTCCTCTCTTCATCAAGTGCTTCCTCTCTTCATCAAGATGCTTCCTCTCTTCTTCAAAGTACTTCCTCTCTTCAACAAAGTACTTCCTCTCTTCATCAAGGTGCTTCCTCTCTTCATCAAGGTGCTTCCTCTCTTCATCAAGATGCTTCCTCACTCCATCATGCATCCATCATGCAGCTTCCTCTCTTCATCAAGTTGCTTCCTCTCTTCAACAAAATACTTCCTCTCTTGATCAAGGTGCTTCCTCTCTTCTTCAAAGTACTTCCTCTCTTCATCAAGATGCTTCCTCTCTTGATCAAGATGCTTCCTCTCTTCAACAAAGTGCTTCCTCTCTTCTTCAAAGTGCTTCCTCTCTTCTTCAAAGTACTTCCTCTCTTCATCAAGGTGCTTCCTCTCTTCAACAAAGTGCTTCCTCTCTTCATCAAGATGCTTCCTCTCTTCAACAAAGTACTTCCTCTCTTCATCAAGGTGCTTCCTCTCTTCATCAAGATGCTTCCTCTCTTCTTCAAAGTACTTCCTCTCTTCATCAAGGTGCTTCCTCTCTTGATCAAGATGCTTCCTCTCTTCAACAAAGTGCTTCCTCTCTTCTTCAAAGTGCTTCCTCTCTTCTTCAAAGTACTTCCTCTCTTCATCAAGGTGCTTCCTCTCTTCAACAAAGTGCTTCCTCTCTTCATCAAGATGCTTCCTCTCTTCAACAAAGTACTTCCTCTCTTCATCAAGATGCTTCCTCTCTTCAACAAAGTACTTCCTCTCTTTATCAAGGTGCTTCCTCTCTTCATCAAGGTGCTTCCTCTCTTCATCAAGGTGCTTCCTCTCTTCATCAAGGTGCTTCCTCTCTTCATCAAGATGCTTCCTCACTCCATCATGCATCCATCATGCAGCTTCCTCTCTTCATCAAAGTGCTTCCTCTCTTCATCAAGGTGCTTCCTCTCTTGATCAAGATGCTTCCTCTCTTCATCAAGGTGCTTCCTCTCTTCATCAAGATGCTTCCTCTCTTCTTCAAAGTACTTCCTCTCTTCATCAAGGTGCTTCCTCTCTTCATCAAGGTGCTTCCTCTCTTCATCAAGATGCTTCCTCACTCCATCATGCATCCATCATGCAGCTTCCTCTCTTCATCAAGTTGCTTCCTCTCTTCAACAAAATACTTCCTCTCTTCATCAAAGTGCTTCCTCTCTTCATCAAGGTGCTTCCTCTCTTGATCAAGATGCTTCCTCTCTTCATCAAGGTGCTTCCTCTCTTCAACAAAATACTTCCTCTCTTGATCAAGGTGCTTCCTCTCTTCTTCAAAGTACTTCCTCTCTTCATCAAGGTGCTTCCTCTCTTGATCAAGATGCTTCCTCTCTTCAACAAAGTGCTTCCTCTCTTCTTCAAAGTGCTTCCTCTCTTCTTCAAAGTACTTCCTCTCTTCTTCATCAAGGTGCTTCCTCTCTTCAACAAAGTGCTTCCTCTCTTCATCAAGATGCTTCCTCTCTTCAACAAAGTACTTCCTCTCTTCATCAAGATGCTTCCTCTCTTCAACAAAGTACTTCCTCTCTTTATCAAGGTGCTTCCTCTCTTCATCAAGGTGCTTCCTCTCTTCATCAAGGTGCTTCCTCTCTTCATCAAGGTGCTTCCTCTCTTCATCAAGATGCTTCCTCACTCCATCATGCATCCATCATGCAGCTTCCTCTCTTCATCAAAGTGCTTCCTCTCTTCATCAAGGTGCTTCCTCTCTTGATCAAGATGCTTCCTCTCTTCATCAAGGTGCTTCCTCTCTTCATCAAGGTGCTTCCTCTCTTCATCAACGTGCTTCCTCTCTTGATCAAGATGCTTCCTCTCTTCAACAAAGTGCTTCCTCTCTTCTTCAAAGTGCTTCCTCTCTTCTTCAAAGTACTTCCTCTCTTCATCAAGGTGCTTCCTCTCTTCATCAAGGTGCTTCCTCTCTTCATCAAGGTGCTTCCTCTCTTCATCATGCAGCTTCCTCTCTTCAACAAAGTACTTCCTCTCTTGCTCAAGATGCAGCTTCCTCTCTTCAACAAAGTACTTCCTCTCTTCATCAAGATGCTTCCTCTCTTCAACAAAGTACTTCCTCTCTTCATCAAGGTGCTTCCTCTCTTCTTCAAAGTACTTCCTCTCTTCATCAAGATGCTTCCTCTCTTCAACAAAGTACTTCCTCTCTTCATTAAGATGCTTCCTCTCTTCTTCAAAGTACTTCCTCTCTTCATCAAGGTGCTTCCTCTCTTCTTCAAAGTACTTCCTCTCTTCATCAAGGTGCTTCCTCTCTTCAACAAAGTGCTTCCTCTCTTCATCAAGGTGCTTCCTCTCTTCTTCAAAGTACTTCCTCTCTTGATCAAGATGCTTCCTCTCTTCAACAAAGTGCTTCCTCTCTTCATCAAGATGCTTCCTCTCTTCATCAAGGTGCTTCCTCTCTTCAACAAAGTACTTCCTCTCTTCATTAAGATGCTTCCTCTCTTCAACAAAGTGCTTCCTCTCTTCATCAAGATGCTTCCTCTCTTCAACAAAGTGCTTCCTCTCTTCATCAAGGTGCTTCCTCTCTTCATCAAGATGCTTCCTCTCTTCTTCAAAGTACTTCCTCTCTTCAACAAAGTACTTCCTCTCTTCATCAAGGTGCTTCCTCTCTTCATCAAGATGCTTCCTCACTCCATCAAGATGCTTCCTCACTCCATCATGCATCCATCATGCAGCTTCCTCTCTCTTTCAAAGTACTTCCTCTCTTCATCAAAGTACTTCCTCTCTTGCTCAAGATGCAGCTTCCTCTTCTCAACAAGGTGCTTCCTCTCTTCATCATACAGCTTCCTCTCTTCAACAAAGTGCTTCCTCTCTTCATCAAGGTGCTTCCTCTTCATCAAGATGCTTCCTCTCTTCTTCAAATACTTCCTCTCTTCAACAAAGTACTTCCTCTCTTCATCAAGGTGCTTCCTCTCTTCATCAAGGTGCTTCCTCTCTTCATCAAGATGCTTCCTCACTCCATCATGCATCCATCATGCAGCTTCCTCTCTTCATCAAGTTGCTTCCTCTCTTCAACAAAATACTTCCTCTCTTGATCAAGGTGCTTCCTCTCTTCTTCAAAGTACTTCCTCTCTTCATCAAGGTGCTTCCTCTCTTCTTCAAAGTACTTCCTCTCTTCATCAAAGTGCTTCCTCTCTTCATCAAGATGCTTCCTCTCTTCAACAAGTGCTTCCTCTCTTCTTCAAAGTGCTTCCTCTCTTCTTCAAAGTACTTCCTCTCTTCAACAAAGTGCTTCCTCTCTTCATCAAGATGCTTCCTCTCTTCATCAAGGTGCTTCCTCTCTTCATCAAGATGCTTCCTCACTCCATCATGCATCCATCATGCAGCTTCCTCTCTTTATCAAAGTGCTTCCTCTCTTCATCAAGGTGCTTCCTCTCTTGATCAAGGTGCTTCCTCTCTTCTTCAAAGTACTTCCTCTCTTCATCAAGGTGCTTCCTCTCTTGATCAAGATGCTTCCTCTCTTCAACAAAGTGCTTCCTCTCTTCTTCAAAGTGCTTCCTCTCTTCTTCAAAGTACTTCCTCTCTTCAACAAAGTGCTTCCTCTCTTCATCAAGATGCTTCCTCTCTTCATCAAGGTGCTTCCTCTCTTCATCAAGGTGCTTCCTCTCTTCATCAAGATGCTTCCTCACTCCATCATGCATCCATCATGCAGCTTCCTCTCTTCATCAAAGTGCTTCCTCTCTTCATCAAGGTGCTTCCTCTCATAGTATGTCAGAGAGAGGTCTTGAAGTGAGAGAAGGAGTATTTTCGAAGAAAGAGGAAGACCTGACTATGAAGAGGAGAGTACATTTGTTGAAGAGAGGTAAGCTGCCTGTGATCAAGAGTTGGAGTGAGGCATCTTGATGAAGAAGGAAGCAACGCTTGATGAAGAAGAGGAAGCACTTTGTGAAGAGAGGAAGCATGCATGTATGAGATGCATGAGGAGTTGAATGAGAGGACATCTTGATGAAGAGAGGAATACTTGATGAAGAGAGGAAGATCTTAATGAAGAGAGGAAGTATTGTTGAAGAAGGAAAGCATCTTGAGAAAAGAAGTACTTTGTTGAAGAGAGGAAGCTGATGATGAGAGAGAGGAAGTACTTTGTTGAAGAGAGAAGCATGATCAATGATGAGAGAGAAGCTCATTTGAAGAAGAGAGGAAGCACTTTGACGAAGAGATGGAAGAGACCTTGATGAAGAAGGAACTGCATGATGGATGCATGATGCGAGTGAGGAAGCATCTTGATGAAGAGAGGAAGCACCTTGATGAAGAGAGGAAATGCACTTTTGATGAAGAAGAGAGAAGCAGTTTTGAAGAGAGAGGAACTTGTTAAGAGAGCAGATCAAGAGAGGAAGCACCTTATGACTAGAGAAGTGCTTGTTGCGAAGAAGAGAGGAAGCACTCTTGATGAAGAGAGGAAGCATTTGAATGCCAAGGAGAGGAAGCACCTTGATCAAGAGAGGAAGCACTTTGTTGAAAGAGAGGAAGCATCTGATGAAGAGAGGAAGTATTTGTTGAAGAGAGTTAAGCATTTGATGAAGAGAGGAAGCACTTTGATTTGAAGAGAGGAAGCATCTCTTGATGAAGAGAGAAGCACTTTGATGAAGAGGAGGAGACGTGAACTGTGATGAGAGAGGAAAGCACCTTGTTGAATAGAAGGCATCTTGAGCAAGAGAGGAAGTACTTTGATGAAGAGAGGAAGTACTTGAGAGAAGAGGAAGCTGATGATGATGCATGATGAGAGAGGAAGCATCTTGATGAGAGAGGAAGCATTCTTGATGAAGAGAGAAGCACCTTGATGAAGAGAAGTACTTTGTTAAGAGAGGAAATACTTTTGAAGAAGAGAGGAAGCATCTTGATGAAGAGAGAAGCACCTTGAGTAAGAGCATTTTGAAAGAGAGACTTGATAATGAATGGAAACGTATTTTGTTGAAGAGAGGAAGCACTTTGAAAAAGAGGGGATACTTTGAAGAAGAGAGGAAGCATCTTGATGCCAAGAGAGAAGTACTTCGTTGAAGAGAGGAAGTCATCTTGATGAAGAGAGGAAGCACTTGTTGAAGAGAGGAAGCATCTTGATGAAGACGAAGAACACGAAGGAGAGGCACCTTGATGAAGAGAGGAAGTCACCTTTGATCAAGAGAGGAAGTACTTTGAAGAAGAGAGAAGCACTTGATGAAGAGAGGAAGTACTTTGTTGAAGAGAGGAAGCATTTGATAGAAGAGAGGAAGTACTTGTAAAGAGAGAGGAAGCACCTTGATGAAGAGAGGAAGTACTTTGTTGAAGAGAGAAGCACTTTGAAGAAGAGAGGACGTATGGAAGTGCATCTTGAGCAAGAGAGGAAAGTACTTTGTTGAAAGAGAGGAAGCTGCATTTGAAGAAGAGAGGAAGCACCTTGATGAAGAGAGAAGCACCTTGATGAAGAGAGGAAGCACCTTGATGAAGAGAGGAAGCATTTGATGAAGAGAGGAAGCATCTTGATGAAGAAGGGAAGTACATTGATAAGAGAGGAAGCACCTTTGATGAAGAAGAGGAAGCACCTTGATGAAAGAGAGGAAGCACCTTGATGAAGAGAGGAAGCATTTGATGAAGAAGAGTAAAGCACTTTGATTGATGAGAGGAAGGCATCTTGAGAGAGAGGAAGCACCTTGATGAAGAAGGAAGACTTGTGAGAGAGGAAGCACCTTGATGAAGAGAGAGGAAGCACCTTGATGAAGAGAATCACGAGAGGAAGCATCTTGATGAAAGGAGACGGAAGGCATCTTGATGAAGAGAGGAAGCAATCTGATGAAAGAGAGGAAACTTTGTTGAAGAGAGGAAGCATTGATTCTTGAGAAGAGAGGAAGTACTTTGGAAGAGAGGAAGCATTGAAGAAGAGAAGAGAGAGGCACCTTGATGAAGAGAGGAAGTACGAAGAGAGGAAGCACCTTGATGAGAGGAGGATGCACATGATGAGAGGAATATCTTTGTTGAAAGAGAGGAAGTGTTAGCATGAGGAAGCTTGATGGAGGAGAGGAGGAAGCACTTGATTGAAGAAGAGGAAGCACCGTGATGAAGAGAGGAAGCACCTTGAGAATGAGAGAGGAAGCACCTTGATGAAGAGAGGAAGCATCTGATCAAGAGAGGAAGCCCTTGAAGAAGAGAGGAAGCACTTGATGAAGAGAGAGCTGCATGATGGAAGCATGAATGTGAGTAGAGAGGAAGCATCTTGATGAAGAGAGGAAGCACCTTGATGAAAGAGAGGAATGTACCTTGATGAAGAGAGGAAGCACTCTGATAAAGAGAGGAAGTACTTTGTTGAAGAGAGGAAACAACTTGATAAGAGAGGAAGTACTTTGTTGAAGAGAGGAACATCTTGATGAAGAGAGGAAGCACTTTGTTGAAGAGAGATAGGAAGCAGTCTTGATGAAGAGAGGAAGCACTTTGAAAAGAGAGGAAGCACTTGTTGAAGAGAGGAAGCTACTTTGTGATGAGAGAGGAAGCACCTTGATGAAGAGAGGAAGTACTTTGAAGAAGAGAGAAGCACCTTGATGAAGAAGGAAGTACTTTGTTGAAGAGAGGAAGCATCTTGATGAAGAGAGGAAGCACTTTGTGAAGAGAGGAAGCACCTTGATGAAGAGAGAAGGTACTTTGAAGAAGAGAGGAAGCCTCTTGATGAAGAGAGAGAGAGAAGCATCTTTGAAGAGAGGAAGCACTTTGTAGAGAGGAAGCATCTTTAATGAAGAGAGGAAGTACTTTGAAGAGAGAGAGGAAGCACCTTGATAAGAGAGGAAGATTTTGTTGAAGAGAGGAAGCAATCTTGATGAAGAGAGGAAGCTGCACTTGATGGATGGATGAAGAGAGGAAGCACCTTGATGAAGAGAGGAAGCACCTTGATAAGAGAGGAAGCACCTGATGAAGAGAGGAAGTACTTTGAAGAAGAGAGGAAGCATCTTGATGAAGAGAGAATGTGAAGAGAGCACTTTGTTGAAGAGAGGAAGCTCTGTAATGAAGAAGGAAGTACTTCTTTGAGAAAGAGGAAGCTTTGATGAAGAGAGGAAGTACTTTGCATTTGAGATGAGGAGGAATGCATCTTGATGAGGAGGATAAGGCAGTTTGGAAGAGAGACATCTTGATGAAGAGAAGGAAGCTGCATGATGGAATGCATGAGAGAGGAAGCACCTTGATGAAGAGAGGAAGCACTTTGATGAAGAAGAGGAAGCTCATTATGACATGATGAGTAAGCACTTGAATGAGAGAAGAAGACCTTGATCAAGAGAAGGAAGCAATACTTGAAGAGAGGAAGCATCTTGATGAAGAGAGGAAGCATACTTTTACGAAGAAGAGAAGGAGGCATCTTGATAAGAGAGGAAGCACTTGATGAAGAGAGGAAGTACTTTGTGAAGAGAGGAAGCATCTTGATGAAGAGAGGAAGTTTTGTTGAAGAGAGGAAGCATCTTGATGAAGAGAGGAAGCATCTTTGATTGAAGAGAGGAAGCACCTTGATTAAGAGAGGAGTACTTTGTTGAAGAGAGGAAACTTTAAGAGAGAGGAAGCACTTTGGAAGAGAGAAGCATCTTGATAAGAGAGGAAAGACTTTGAAGAAGGAGGGAATGCACTTGTGAAGAGAGGAAGCACTTTGATGAAGAGAGAGAAGCACTGTTGATACAGAGAAGGAAGTCACTTGTTGAGAAGAGAGGAAGCATCTTGATGAAGAGAGGAAGCACTTGTGAGAGGGAAGCATCTTATGAAGAGAGGAAGCATTTGTTGAAGAGAGGAAGCATCTTGAAAGAAGAGAGGAAGTACTTTGTTGAAGAGAAGGAAGCATCTTGATGAAGAGAGGAAGCTTTGTAAGAGAGGAGATCTTATGAAGAGAGGAAGCACCTTGATGAAGAGAGGAAGCACCTTGATGAAGAGAGGAAGAGCTTTGAAAGAGGGAGGTCTTGATCATATGAGAGAAGAAGCACTTGATGAAGAGAGGAAGTACTTTGAGAAGAAGAGAGGAAGCCTTTGAAGAAGAGAGGAAGCACTTGTTGAAGAGAGGAAGCATCTTAATAAGAGAGGAAAGTACTTTGTTGAAGAAGGAAAGCATCTTGATGAAGAGAGAGGAAGATACTTTGTTGAAGAGAGAGACACGAGAGCATCTTGATGAAGAGAGGAAGCACTTTGAAGAAGAGTGATGGAGAGAGCTGCATGAATGGATGCATGTATGGAGTGAGGAAGCATCTTGATGAAGAGAGGAAGCACCTTGATGAAGAGAGGAAGTACTTTGTATGATGGAAGTACTTTGAAGAAGGAGGAAGCATCTATGAGAGAGCAGGAAGCACCGTTGATCAAGAGAGGAAGCACTTTCGTAATGAAAAGGAAAAAAAGGAAGCATCTTGATGAAGAGAGGAAGTACTTTGTTGAAGAGAGAAGATGAAAGAGAGACATCTTGATGAAGAGAGGAAGCACCTTGATAAGAGAGGAAGTAGCTTCATTTGTTGAAGAGGAAGCATCTTGATGAAGAGAGGAAGTACCTTTGTTGAAGAGAGGAAGCATCTTGATGAAGAAGAGGAGAACTTTGTTGAAGAGAGGAAGCACGTTGAAGTAGAGAAGAGAGGAAGCATACTTGGAAGAAGAGAGGAAGCACTTTGAAGAAGAGAGAAGCACTTTGTTGAAGAGAGGAAGCATCTTGATGAAGAGAGGAAGTACTTTGAAGAAGAGAGGAAGTCGCACCTTGATGAAGAGAGGAAGCACTTTGATGAAGAGAGGAAGCATCTTGATGAAGAGAGGAAGTACTTTGTTGAAGAGAGGAGATCATCTTGATTTAAGAGAGGAAGTCTTTGTTGAAGAGAGGAAGTACTTTGAAGAAAGAGGAAGCACTTTGTTGAAGAGAGAAGCATCTTGAATGAAGAGAGGAAAGCACTTGATGAAGAGAGGAAGCACCTTGATGAAGAGAGGAAGTTTTGAAGAATAGAGAGGAAGCACCTTGTGAAGAGAGGAAGCTGCATTTGAGAAGAGGCTTATGAAGAAGAAAGCTTTGAAGAAGAGAGGAAGCTGCATGAATGGGAGTGCATGATGGAGTGAGGAAGCTCGTTGATGAAGAGATGAGACATGAGAGAAGATGAGGAAGCACCTTGATGAAGAGAGATAGCTATATTGATGAAGAGAGGAAGCATCTGATGAAAGAGAGGAAAGTATTTGAAGATAGAGAGGAAACGCACTTTGTTGAAGAGAGGAAGATCTTAATGAAGAGAGGAAGTACTTTGTTGAAGAGAGGAAGCATCTTGATATGGAAGAGAGAAGTACTTTGTTGAAGAGAGGAGAGCATCTTGATGAAGAGAGGAAAGACTTTGTTGAAGAGAGGAAGCATCTTGATTGATGAAGAGAGGGAAGCACTTTGTTGAGAGAGGAAGCATCTTGATGAAGAGAGAAGCACCTTGATGAAGGAGGAAGCACTTTGTTGAAGAGAGGAAGTACTTTGTGAAGAGAGGAAGCACTTTGTTGAAGAAGAGAGAGCGAAGCCATTTGAAGAAGGAGAGAAGCACTTTGGTCTGAAGAGAGGGAAGCATGCTTGATGGCCAAAGAGAGGAAGTACTTTGTTTAAGAAGAGAGGAAGCATTACTTGATGAGAGAGAAGCACTTTGTGAAGAGAGGAAGCATCTTTATGAAGAGAGAAGTACTTGTGTGAAGAGAGAGAAGCATCTTGATGAAGAGAGGAAGTACTTTGTTGAAAGAGAGGAAGCTCTTGAATGAAAGAGGAAGCTACATTTGGATTGAAGAGAGGAAGCATTTGATGAAAGAGAAGAAGTACTTTGTTGAAGAGAGAAGCTGATCTTGAGAAGAGAGGAAGCACTTTGTTGAAGAGAGGAAGCTCGATGAGATAGGAAGCCATCTTGAGCAAGAGAGGAAGTACTTTGACTGAAGAGAGGAAGCACTTATGAGAGAGGTAGATGCATGATGGATGGAGATGTTTGAGGAAGCCGTATCCTGATGAAGAGAGGAAGCACCTTGATGAAGAGAGGAAGTTTGATGAAGAGAGGAAGCATCTTGATTGAAGAGAGGAAGTACTTTGAAGAAGAGAGAAGAGAAGCATCTTGATGAAGAAGATGAAGCACCTTGATGAAGAGAGAGTACTTTGTTGAAGAGAGGAAGCATCTTGATAGAAGACAGGAAGACGTGACTTTGTTGAAGAGAGGAAGCATCTTGATGAAGAGAGGAAAGCACTTTGTTGAAGAGAGGAAGCATCATTGATGAAGAGAGGAAGCAACTTTGATGAAGAGAGGAAGCACCTTGATGAAGACCGAGGAAGACGAGAAGCACCTTGATGAAGGAGAGGAAGTACTTTTGTTGAAGAAGAGGAAGTAACTTTGATGAGAAGACGATGGATCTGATGGACAGATCTTGATGAGAGAGGAAGCACCTTGATGAAGAGAGGAAATACTTGTGAAGAGAGAGAAGCACTTGATGAAGATAGGAAGCACATGACTGAAGAGAGGAGTCATCTTGATTAAGAGAGGAAGACTTTGTATAGAAGAGAGGAAGTACTTTGAAGAAGAGAGGAAAGCTACTTTGAAGAGAGAGAAGCCCTTGATGAAGAGAAGGAAGCACTTTGTTGAAGAGAGGAAGCTGATGATGAAGAGAGGAAGCGTAACTTGTTGAAGAGAGGAAGTACTTGATTGAAGAGAGGAAGCTGCATGATGGAGCACTTTTGATTGAAGAGAAGGAACATCTTGATGGAAGTAGAGGGAAGCACTTGATGAAGAGAGGAAGCACCTTGATGAAGAGAGGGAAGTCTTTGAGAAGAGAGGAAGTACTTTGATGAAGAGAGAAGCACTTGTGAAGAGAGGAAGCAATCTTGATGAAGAGGAGGAGCACTTGTTGAAGAGAGAGGAAGCATCTTGATGAAGAGAGGAAGCACTTTGTTGAAAGAGAGGAAGTACTTTTGAAAGAAGAGAGGAACGCATTTTGAATGGTGTTTGAAGAGAGGAAGCACCTTGATAAGAGAGGAAGCTACTTTGATTGAAGAAGAGGAAGCATCTTGAATGAAGAGAGGAAGTACTTTGTTGAAGAGAGGAAGCACTTGATGAAGAGAGGAAGTACTTTGTTGAGAGAGAAGCATCTTGATGAAGAAGAGGAAGTAACTTTGTGAAGAGAGAGGAGCACTTTGATAGAAAGAGAGGAAGCACTTTGTGAAGAGAGGAAGCACCTTGATGACAAGAGAGGAAGTACTTTGTTGAAGAAGGAAGTACTTTGAGAAGTAATATATATGATCTCTCTTGACTCAAGAGTCTTCCTCTCTCTCAACAAAAGTAACTTCCTCTCTTGCATTAAGGTGCTGCCTCTTAAGGTGCTTCCTCTCTTCAACAAAGTGCTTCCTCCTTCTTCTACTCCTAAGAGGTGCTTCCTCTCTTCTTCAAAGTACTGTCCTCTCTTCATCAAGGTGCTTCCTCTCTTTCAACTCAAGTGCTTCCTCTTCTTCATCAAGGTGCTTTCCTCTCTTCACAAAGTACTTCCTCTCTTCATCAAGATGCTTCCTCTCTTCAACAAAGTATTCCTCTCTTCATCATCACAGGTGCTTTCCTTCTCTTCAACAAAGTGCTTCCTCTCACTTCTTCAAAGTACTTCCTCTCTCAACAAAGATGCTTCCTCTCTTCATCAAGGTGCTTCCTCTCTTCTTCAAAGTACTTCCTCTCTTGATCAAGATGCTCTCCTCTCTTCAACAATGCTTATCTCTCTTCACAAAGTACTTCCTCTCTTCTTAAAGTACTTCCTTCTCATCAAGGTGCTTCCTCTCTTCATCAAGGTGCGTTCCTCTCTTCATCAAGATGCTTCCTCTCTTCAACAAAGTCTTCCTCTCTCTTCAAAGTAACTTCCCTCTCTTCAACAAAGTACTTCCTCTCTTTGATCTCAGGTTGCCTTCCTCTCTTCAACAAAGTGCTTCCTCTCTTCTTCAAAGTGCTTCCCTCTCTTCTTCAAAAGTACTTCCTCTCTTCTTCAAAGTACTTCCTCTCTTCATCAGGTGCTTCTCTCTTGATCAAGATGCTTCCTCTCTTCATCAATGTGTTCCTTCTTCATTCAAGGTGCCTTCCTCTCTTCAACAAAGTACTTCCTCTCTTCATCAAGGTGCTTCCTCTCTTCATCAAGATGTTCCTCACTCCATCATGCATCCATCATGCAGCTTCCTCTCTTCATCAAGTTGCTTCCTCTCTTCAACAAAAGTACTTCTCTCTTTGATCAAGTGCTTCCTCTCTCTTCAAAGTACTTCTCTCTTCATCAAGGTGCTTTCTCTCTTCATCAAAGTGCTTCCTCTCTTCATCAGATGCTTCCTCTTCAACAAGTGCTTCCTCTCTTCATCAAGATGCTTCCTCTCTTCAACAAAGTACTTCCTCTCTTCATCAAGAGTGCTTCCTCTCTTCAACAAGTACTTCCTCTCTTCATCAAGGGGTGCTTCCTCTCTCATCAAGATGCTTCTCTCTTACTTCA